TGGCATGCATTTTTTGCCGAGCAAGAAAATGCATGCCAAGGCTTAAAGCAGCAACAACGCTACACATAAAAACTGATGATGGTGGAAAAATACACCGAAACGTATTTTGATTGATAAATAGAGACAATAAATGACTGAAACCCAGGAATGAATTTGATTTGGAATTGAAACACAGTCAGTAAAGTATATTCAATCAACCATCAATACCATGTAAGTAATTCTATGCCAACGTAAACCGCTTATGCAGCAATTTGAAAGCCGTTTAAATATACTTAAAAGGATTTAATTGCGACTGCACATATCAAAGCTGACTCCAATATACTGCGCTTTACTTATACAAATTAAATGCTAGTTAAATTGTCAATTAATGCATATAAAGCGCAGTGTGGCTGATTCAAAACCATTTTCCCGTACCCTGGCAAATCGAATCTATTTGGTCGTTTGCACCAAGTTTTATAATGTGCAATATACAGAGCGTTCAGTTTAATAGATCACTTGATTGGTTAAGGACGCACCTCCAAATTTTGGAAAAATTTTGCAAAAACGGTTCGGTTCCCCGGTCTTAAACTCTAGTTAATTTCAGGAAATTGATGAACTAATACTTGAGGCTTGTGTCTTCTACAGTTAAATCTGCGGAGAAACATTTTAAACCAAAACTTTAACCTTGGGTTAGTGATTTACTTGACTTTTGGGGACACCCTGTACAGATGCCCATTCACTAAAGTTGCGATAGTACACACAGGTTGAGTAATTAAAACTGTTGCCTATTGGTGCTGATGAGCAACTTTTGAAACATTTTTAATTTAAATTTTAAAGCAGAGTACAAATTTGAACAAACCGCGGTGTTTTTAATCAGGCAAAGTGTCAGCGTGTCTGCAACGTTTGCTTTAAAAAGTTCGCGAATTAGGTAGTTTTTTCCCGAATGGAGTACAAGTTGGCAGCACATCATTAGTCAACAGGCGAACAGGAAAAATATGATTTATTCAATTGCTGCTCAAACTGATCGGAGCAGCGGTGGCAAAAAGTTCATTTAAAGTCGAGATTCGTGTTTTCAACTACCTTGAAACGGGCCAACATAATGAGGCAACAACAACCGAAACTTTCATAACAATTTAATTAATCACTTGAATTATACCCGAAAGTGTAGCGGAGAGTTGAGTCGAGAACAAAAACCACCGGGTTTCGGGTTTGCACCAACATCAAACTACTTAAAACTAATTATAAATTTTAGGGTTTCCTCCTTGCCAACTTTCCGCAACCAAAGTGAAATCTGAGCGGATTTTTTCTAAACGGGCTTCAAGAGAATCCACTAAAAATCCGAGTTTTCCCATCAAAATCTTCGCAAAAATTCATGGGCTTTGTGGGCAGTTTACACTGCGTGGTTGCAAATATTAATTTTCCTGTTTCACGCGCTTAGTGAAATTATTCAATTTGTTCCTCTCGTAATTTTGTCAGTTACTGCTGGTCAATTTCGCTGAATTATCTTCTGTTAATTAACGATCCACGCAGCCAAGCAATTTTCCAGCTGTGTAAGCAGAATGTGTCCGACCTCTACACGTCCACAATTTTCCGTCACAGTCACGTTTTTTCTTCTCTTTGATCGTTTAATTTTAATTAAAACTAAAGCAGACATCTGTTTTTTCTCTACGAAATTATCTGGTGTCTTTTGTAAATATACTAAATTAACATGTAATTAGATTAAATGGCAGAAAAACGTGCCATTGAAGAATGAAGATTAGAATGTAGATGTTGATGCAGTTTATTCAAATAATGCTGATAATGACAAATGGAGAGAGATTAGCAATATATAGATAATAAAATATGTAGATTAAAGGGAGTAAGAATCATTCGGTAGCAACCGAAACCGCGGAAACATTTTCGGAAAAGGGAAGATACGCAGAACAACGATGTGAATATAGCGGAAAATCTCAATTTATGCAATTTTCACAGTGTGAAGGGCAAAGACGGCTAAATATATGAAGATAATTTCAACTAAATGGAAAAATCGCCCAATTTTCTAAAATGAAGCAAACTTAGGTTTCAAAATTTAAAAACCACCAATCTGCAAGCGACGCTTGAAAAATTCATAAGCTCCAAACCACATCCAATAGAGCTTTGAAATTGTGATAACATGACGAAGAAACATTCGTAAATAGATGGTAAAAATTACAATTGAAAATACAAATTGCTCAACTTAAAAATGAACACTGACAATTGGGCTTAAAAAGTGACCAACTGCCATTCTGCAAGCGACGGTTGAAAAATTCGTACACTTTAAGCTAGAGCCAGCAGACATATGAAATTTTCATATTGTGAAAGGGAAAGACTGATAAATATATGAAGAAAATTTAAAATAAATCGAAAAATTGCCCAA